GAGGTGCCTTCCAACCTCTACCATTCTGTGATCCTATGAATTACCCTCACTTCATGTTCTCCACAGCATGATGTCTACTCTTCCTAATCTCTCTAACCCTTTCCAAGGGGAAGGGCAGCATCTTCTTGGCTGAGGCAGCTCTTCCATCCCCTACCTGCTCCTCATGGCACCACAGACCTTTTACATCCATGCATGGCATGACTTCCCATCCTCAGGGTCTTTTGAACTGCCAAAGAAAGTACTGCTTTACTTTGCTTTTATGCCTTTATCATTAGACTTCAAAAAATTTTCCCTTCATCTTTGTTCAGTCCTGTGAGCTACATTATGCTGCTTGTTCTGTGCTGTGAGTTGCAAATCTTCCTCTTTGTTCTCATGTTTTCCCCATAAATTTTGTGTTTGTTTCCTCTGTAATCCCTAATTGTTCTGTTACCAGCAGAAACACAGAACCACAACACACCTTTCTTTTTCTGTTCTCCTCTTCCAGTATGAGAATTCCTTTTCTTTTCCACCTTCACTTCACTCCAGGGTGCTCCCAACCCTCCTTTCGCAGTATGGGGTCTGTGCTTAAACCCTGCCATTGTTTTCCTTAGGACAGTACTGAATTGAATGCTTGTTGGTTCTGAAGTGTGTGTGTCTTTTCAGTGCAGTTTTTACAATCCTCTTTCTGGTGTCTTTTTTATTACCTCTTATCAGATATGCCTTTAAAAAATACATGCTCTACCCAAGCAGCACTTCAGGATTAAGTTCTGTTCCTGACTCTGCTGATGACAAAATGTCTGTGTCAATCAGGCAATTGACCTGCAATAGCCAAAAAAGGAAGTGAGGCTAAGTGAGGCTTTTTTTCCCAGTCTTAGGCAAATAGTAGACTCCTCAATGGCTTTTAAAAATGCAGCTACTTGTGTATTTTTATAAAGAGAAAACATCAGAGAAAAAAGCTTTTAGAATAAAAACAATAAGACCTGATCTTCCAGAGCTGCTTCAGTGCCTGGCTGGATATAAGAGATTTGCCCAGGGTAGTTGTTAACTGTAATCTCAGAACCCCCATTTGATTCTTCTGATATGTTAATTTATAGTTAGGCAAGGACTGCTGATCTCTAAGTAAAAGTACATGGCACCCTGTCTCTTTTAGGATATATAGTCATGTAGCAAGATCTCGTGGCTGAATTGGGCACAGTTGTTTGCAACAGTTAATGTTTCAGTTTTTCATTCCCTTTTTCTACATAATTAAACAATCTGGGGAGCCTCTACTTCAAGCAAGATTTAGGAAGCTCTGTACATCTCAGTAAGTCAGTTCTGAGAGATGTATTTTTACAGGAATCCACTCAGACTCCTGGAGCTATTTTGCTACCACTTGTGCCAAAGTACATACAGGTCCTAAGATAAAAGAAGAAAATGTGCATTTATTTTAAGTACACATAACCTCTGAAATAGGTTAAGCTGTGACAACATATGAGCGAAGAGGCAGGGAAAACAAGCTGAGAGCTGATTCAGTCCTTTAAATGTAAATCAAAATGCAAGAACACCCTAGTTGTTTTTCTCCCCAAATTCCTTCTTTGCCAAAATGTGACTGCTTAAGTGCTTTTGTCCCTCCTCAGATATAAAAGGAGTAGGAAATTTGGGAATCATTGTCTCCCGAACTTCAACTTGGTTTCAGCTCCACTGGGGTCGGTGAAGAAAGGAAGGGGCACTCCGCTAGTTTACAAGGATGTCTGGCCTTCAGTGTAAGCAACAGCCAGTAGTTCTTCATTGGGAAGCTGTTCTCTGTGTTATTACTTTATTTAATTCTAATTAAGATACAAAGGTACTGCCTCAGGATGACTTTGGATATGTTTCACTGTAGCCAAGAGCAAAAGGTGTCCAGTGCATGTTTGTGTGTTTTGGATGACAAATAGAATAATACAAGAATAAATTTATGTTTTTGTTTTCTACAGGAACAATGTCTGGAGGCTTCAACTTTGGGGTAACAGATGGTTTGAACTTTGCACCTCGACAGATTTTTAGCATCACAGCTCGGATGCTAATCATTAGCCTTGAAGTGAACAAAGGACTCGGAGTCTTTCCAGGTCTGTTTTTAAAACTTACCGCGATTTCATTCATTTGAAAAAATTGCATAATTTACTGCTATTTGTCAGATAGCTAGCTGGCTAAACTATAGAAAACAGTACCCGGTAACAGCTATCTGTCTGCTCTTTAAAAGAACAGTGATGTTTTCTCAAACAACATATCGCCTTATTGTTTCATAGTCTTTGCAACTTTTTGATATGTGCATGTGCTTGAGGTCATGGAAGTTGGCGGTGAAATGTGTAAGTGTAGTGTGACAATAACAGTGTCTGCCTAAGCTCTGAACTGAACATTCACCATTCAGACTTCTCTAAAAGCTCTATATTATATTTCTATACGTAGAGGTGTCATAGCTGGTTGTGATTTTTCCTGGTAAAAGCAGAGTGAACCTTGTGTCTTTGTGATTCTGAACAGCATACATAAGCTTGGCAGATTGCTTCTTTGCTTTCTTACTGTTTGAACTAAGTTATGGAGAGCAGCACAGACTTGCTGATGAGTAAGAATGACTGGAAACTTTGTTTTGTATTTGTGGATTTGGAACTAGTTGGATCAGCAGCTGAGTATTTTTTTAATTAAATCTTACTCCTGCAAGAGTTGATGTGTTAATGGCTCACCAGAGCCATTTACTACTTTGCACTTTCAAGAATAATCCCTCATTGGGTTAGTAATCTAACATTAATTACAGGATTAAAGGAGAAGTGAAGATTAGTTTTTGCTCTGAGCATGAACTGTATAGCCAGAGAGAGTTGATAAAGCTCTATAAGCATTAATCTGTACCTTGATTATTAATTTGATACAGAGGATGAGCACTTTAGTTTCTTAAACTTCCTGAATATAAGCTGCATGAACAAAGGTTTGCAACAAAAGCCACTTAAACACAGGCAACAAAAAGTGAGAGTGTAGGAGCATGATCTACTAATTCAGTCAATATAAATGGGATTCACATAAATCCACTTACAGAGTTTATTAATCTGCAGTTTTGGTGTGTCAGGTTGCCTCAGGCACAGGCATTTACAGGAATTCTGTCTTAAGCCAAGGATAATAGTATGAACAGTATGCCTGATACTTCCATAGAAGGCAAAGTCTCTAGACTGTCTATCAGTTCTCCAGTTTGCAAAATACAGTATTTCTTTCAGCACTGCAAAGGGTATTCATCTAAGCCTGCAGTTTTTCCTGAATTCTCACTTACTTTGTGTTAGCAAAATTCCTTTTAATTCCTTTTTGGTGTTAAAAAGTATTACTAGCTTTTTCACCTGTTCTCTTAATGATACTTTAAAAAGACTTTCTGGAGCTGTATGGGTTTTAGCTGTACTTGCTCATCATGAAATGACTATTACAACAATGATGGTGCCAAATGCTTAATAAACATAAAGACAATACCAAATGTCCTGTTATATTTTATAGCACTGCAGGAAAAGTTAATTTTGAGACAACTTGGAGAATCTTCTCTCTAGGAAAGAAAAATATTCTGAAGAATTTGCCATGTCTTCATGACTGGGTGTAAAGTATTCTCTCAAGCATATTGTTTTGCAATTTTATATGAGCATGCACTGCTGTCTTATTTTGTGCTGGGTGTACCAGATTTGTTTATACAATTTATGGATTTTTTTCTATTCAACAGTAGCTTGTTTTATTCAGTGTGCTCAGTAAATTGACTGCTAGATATATGAGTTTTTTCTTATGTATGCTAGATATCTACAATGTGAGGATTTGCTCTCTTCAGGGAAGCAATTGCTCACAGAAGGAATGAGCTGAGTTGGTCTTTGAGAGGAGAGGCAGCCCGGCTTGTAAGTATTTGGAAGCAGAGCTGTCTAAGCAGTCAGTAGATGGGATGATTCATAACTTCAGCAGTGACAGGCAGAGTGCTCGTGCCAGAGCACTTTTACAAATCTTAAATGTAAGCAGTAAAAATAGATACCAAAATTATTAGGTACTGACAGTGGCCTTATGCTGTTGCATTCTACTTGTATGGATTAGCTTGGCCCTACTCTGCATCACCCATCCTTATTGTGTGTCTTCGTCCCCTATCTTTGTTCCTTTCCCCTGTGTTTGGGTGAAGTTGGTTTTGCAATCTTTCTGCTCCTGTGTTTGGGAACAAGCAGACAGTGTTCTCACTTCCCTTTCCTTTACCCAGTCTGTTGGCTGGCGAATAACCTTCCTCTCCCTGTTGAGGTGTCAGACCAGAGCGGAACTACTGCAGGTGCTGGAAAAGGTTTTCAAGTCTCAAGACAGAAGTGGGTGAAGGAGAAGGTTATGTCTGGGGGAGGATCCCATTTTACAAGAAAGCGTGAGAGACTTTATTGTCTGTGGCCCTAGACTGTATTTCGGCCTCTGCTGTGCAGTGAGTGAGGGGAGGTCATCCTCTGTCCCCATCTTATGCACTGTGATGGTGGTGGTGGCATAACCTGATATAGTTATGAAAAATTGGAGCATTAACTTCCATCACTACAGTGTGACCATGTTTAAGAGTTACTCTGTCTATTAAAGCAATTAGGCCTGATTTGCATAAGTGGGAGATCATTGAGAAATAACTGTGCTTGCAGATTACACACGCACGGTCTGATTAACTGTTGTTCTCACTTGTACATTCCTGATCACATCTCCTGGATGCACAACACAAGGTCATGCTTCCCTCTCTGCTGGTCATGCAAAAAAGGGAAAAGAAGAGAGAAGAAGAGGAGGGAGACTTCTTGGATTAGCTACAGTGTGGCACATTTTTCTAGACCTGAGGGACTGCTTATCTTTCAAAGCAGTATGGTGACTGAGAGGCATGGGAAGATAAAAAGGAGAAAACAGGGAGAGCCAGAGGTCTCATTTCATTATAAAAACTCTGTTTCAAAGTAGACGTGGTTTGAACCAGGGCACAACTGCGTGTACACAGGCAGAATCCTGATGCTACTAATGGCTTGCAAAACTTCCCCATTTTT